ACCACGTCGATGCGATGGTCGGCCTCTACATGTAGAAGGCACACCCATTGGTAACTTATTTCACTATTTATGAATGTTTTTTCAATCTTTTCTTCGTGGCATTTGTTGAAATTGGAAGTGGGGCCTCGTCACTAGACCAGATCCAATGCGACGCACCAGATCTGACACGTCATTGGATTTCGAGGGTCGACAGAGCGCCCAGTACGAGGCAAAGACGTGTACAGGGTGTTGTTGTCGCCGCTTCAAGCACGACCCTACCCCTTGTTGCCGACCCGCCGTCAGCACCGACCGTCTAGTAAATAGTGGCACGATGGCCCTCGCTGATCAGATCTTGTTTCGGACCACGCAGTTGACACGAGACCAGACGCGGAATCTGGTCCCACTACGTAAATTCACCACACGCCGACAGTGCACACATGCGACCGTCAAGCGCGTCCTGTCCTGCTAGTACAGCGAAATGCAAACGACAGCGATTTTTTGGTTACTCGACATGAATAAGACAAGAGTTACTATACCCTTGCTCGACTCGGCCCCAATGGCTTGTCGACGTTCTCTACCAAGCTTCCAAGACCCAACGTGACGATTCTGTGAAAAGGAGTCCTACGGGTCTTATGTAGTTTGAGTGTAGTTTGTCTGGCCGTTCATCATCCAGCGCATCCAGTGTGGTCAAAGACGTTGACGAAGTTATGGTGGTTCGACTTGGCATTTTGCTACCGAAGCCAAGTGCGATACTCTTGTGTTTCCGCGGCGACACCCTGCCAACCTTTTGTTCTAACGTTATCCGTGTCGCCGCCGTTTGCAGACCTTTGCTGACGATGCGTCAATGGACAGAGGACTTGCAAAGACAACTGCGTTAACCAGGGTAGGACCATGGGTAGGACAAGCATCGAAGAATCATTTCAACAACCCGGCATCGGATAGTTGCGTGTTTTTAGAATAAAAAGTGCACCTCTGGAGCCAGCAAGGTGAGTCACGGGCGCAATTGGCAAATTGGCTCCGAAGGTCGCACACACATCCGAGCATGGATCTCAACGGCCTCGAGCATGTCCGCGTCGAAGCGTACGTCGAGAAGGGCGTCGTCATGTACCGCCTCGCGCTCATCTGCCCCGTCATGGGCCAGTGGTGGGTCATCTTGGCGCGCTACTCCAAGATCCGCGCCTTCTACGACCGCCTCTGCAGCATACACCTCACGTTGCAGTGGGAAAAGCACGCGTTCGTCGAGGCGCTCTCGACAGTCGTGCCCTCTGCTTGGTTCCCGCCGCGCCGCCTCTCGTCGTCCTCGTCCCGCGTCCAAAGTGAGCGCATCCGTGGCTTCCGGGCCTTCTTTATCAACTTGCTCAACACCAAGTTGCACCTCGCGTCGCGCCGGCAGTCGCACACAGTCGTGCGGGACCTTGTCATCCTCGTGCAGACCTTTTTGCGCACGCCGTATACCGAGGCTGCGGACGCGCCGCCGTTGACGCCGATTGGCACCGCGCCCGAGATGGACGACGACAACATTCCGGTGGGCGTGCCGCTCACGGAAGCGCCGGCCATTTCCGCGCTCTTCAACAACGACTGCACGATCTGCCTCGTCGCCTTTACGCACGACGAGTTCCAGACCGCGGGCCACATCGTCAAGACGTCGTGTGACCATCTCTTCCATGCGTCGTGCATTGACAGCTGGATTGGCCTTGCGAAGACGACGTGCCCGCTCTGTCGAGACAACATTGCCCACATCACTGGCTTGTACAATGATTAATAAACGCGTCTTAAAACGTAGTATGAAATACATGGCGTGTCGTATTCGACTTGATCAGTGTGTCATGTGCGTGCTGGTCTCGTACGCTCCAAGGTCCCTCTTGTCGATGTCGTGATTCACGACCTCGTGCAAACTGGAAGAGGATCCGAGATTGCAGTTGCGTTTGTTTAGACGTAAAAAGACGCAGCGTTATTAAGAAAAGCGGTCATGCGGTGAGCCAATCGACATCCACCACCTATGTGGTATACATTTCACAAGTCATTGTACCGTCAGTAAGAGGCACGCATTCCTATTGTATCGGCGCACGACATCGGCACCAGGAGCACGAACAATCAATCTTGACGCGTAGGTACATTTACAGAGCCGTGTGCCAGTCGTCGTCCATGGAAATGGTGGTGATGAGCGGCGCGGAAGTTTATACGCGATCTGATTGGCCAAAAAGACACCTCCGTAGCGTCTTTTTACAGCGTGATTATCCGAGATTGCGCCGGAAAACCGGATTTGTGACAGGCGTGGCGCCAGCTGGTGCGAGTCGACACGCGCACTAATACCATAGCAAGGAGCATGTCGTCGATGCAGGCGAGCAGCAGCAACGAGCAGGAGCAACTCGAGCTCGTCTCGCCTCTCCAAATCGCCATCACGCCGCGCCTCAACACTCTTCGAAGCTACGATGTGCACACAGAGTACGTCATCACACTGCTCTGCCCATTGCACAAGGTGTGGTGGGACGTCACGTTCCGCCACTCCAAGCTCATTGCGCTGCGCACCGACCTCGTCTCGCACGCCAATGCGCTCAAAGCCGACCCCGAGTACGTGCGGCTGTTGCTGCCCGTGCTACGCATCGATCTACCAAAGACGCTCTTCGCATCGACGAGCCACAAGCGGGCCCAGAAGCGCGTTCGCCTCTACCAAGATTTCTTCTTTGCGCTTCTACACACGCGTATTCATCTCATGGACCCCCACCGATCGGCCATCTCGGAGGTGCGCGCGCTCATCCAGACCGTACGCAAGGTCGTCGTACTGCCGTCCCTCGGTATCGTGCTGCCGCTCGAGCGGACACGGCGCGAGCCCACGGCTCCAGTCGCGACCATGAACGAAGTCTTGCCTGAGAACGGCCCTGCGCCGTCAGCACCGGACGCAGAAGGCGCCGAGCTCGCGTCGGCCCCCGACTTGAACCAGCTACCGCCTCTTCCCGGTGCGCCAAAGACACTCGATGACGAGACCGCCGACCACGTGAGTTGTGCACGAGCTAACCTTGTCCCGGTGGCGGCAGCGCCACAACAGCTTAGTGAGAACGACGCAATGATCTGCGTGCTCGCAGTGCCATTGACCACTGCGCCGGACGACGACTCGGTAGCCAACGCCGCGTGCCCCATCTGCCTTGTGCCCTTTGGCGCGAGCGAGCTTTGCCAAGCCGGCGTCATCGTCGTGACGTCATGTAAACATCTCTTCCACGCGGGCTGCATCGGCCATTGGATCGATCAAGCAACGTCGTGTCCGCTGTGCCGCGTTCCGATCGAGCACATGACCGGTCTTTACAGCGAGAATTTGGCCTAGCGCACGCACGCGCATGCATTAAAACGTGAGTTGTATCCCTCGTTCGCTCGACCCTAGTCGCTTGCTTTTGCAATGTACACGTTGTCATGCGTCAAGCACTCCATGCGCTTGTTGTCTTTGGACCTGGCAGTTTGCAGCCACATCAATGGCATGGACAAAGTGGATGGGTAGCCGTCCATTCACCGTGATCTGGATGGGTGGGCTTATGAACCATAAACGTTGCAGCGTTAAGATATTTGGCTCACGGACGAAAGGAAGAAAGAGAAAAAAGAAGGG